AATTACGTGTTGGTTTTCAGTCATCAGGACCTTCGGAATCATCAAGCTGACCAAGGTATACCATTGTCTCCAATATACAAGGTACACACAACCTAAAATTTTTGTGTTGACGCATGTCTTACAATCTTTTCTTTTTTTTTTCTTTCTGTATTTTATTACTGGAAAAATTGCAATACACGCCTACTGTGCATATCTCTGGTTGAAGTCTATGTTTTCCATACGACTTGTGGCACCTCTGCAGGTTGTAAAAACTGTGTATGCATCTCCGAGCCGTGTCAATTTTCAGTTGGACTCGGAAAAGGCAAGTTTGGGTACTTTCTGATAAACGTGATATCACTGGACCATGTCGTTGCTTTCACTGAATTCTAACACTATCAATGACATTTATCTAGGAAGTGGAGACAACACCTGCTTATCCGGATATTTGTTTTGCAATCGATGACTTTGACTCCACTTTTGATGCCGTGGTAAAAGACCTATTGTGTGATGAGATCATTTACAAACGACCTTCCATTGTTATTTTCATAATGTTCTTGCCACAACAGTTAAATGTGTAATCATGCTTTTTATCGTCACTTTTCTGTTATTAGTCAGTTTGAAGAACCTGCTCGCTTTGTGAGACATGATTTTCGCTCTTTTTTTTTTTCAATTCACATCTTTTGGACTTAACCAACTTTTTGGGCTAGTCTTTCAGTTTGCTTCCTGGCATATCTACAATTTACAATGCTGTAAGAAATGATTTTATGTTGTTCCAGGTCTTGACTGAAACAGACAATTGCTACTGCGTAATTCTCAATGCACACGATGGGGCAGCATTTCCTAGGGTAAAGGAGTCTGATGAATGCAGTTCTGGTGATAGTTCCTCTTTGAGGATTGAGACAAATTCTGCAAAGACGAAAAATACTAAGGTTTCTTTCTAAATCTCTGTTTCACATGCCAGAACTACTATTAGAGATGAGGTATAAGTGAATGTCTCACGCATGTTGTTACTTCAAGGAATACTCTGTAAACACTCTGATTTTCTGGTGTTGTGATTGCAGCTGACTCTTTTTTCAGGATTCGTCAGCTATCAAATGGTCCGAGATGCATATGATGGTAAGATTTCCTAAAGATAATAACTTATGTTGCTGTTTGCTTTTGGTTTTCAGTGAAAATCCCTTGAAATGGATTTATATTTGTTCATTGTACCATTAGATACGGTTTCCATTTTCCCTTCAACGGATTTATGGCTTTGTATGTTTTCTGGTTTAAGTTGGAAGAAGTATAAAGTTTCTTTGACCGGTTATACACTCAGAGTTTTTGAAATGTGTTGACTTTAGATGTGATGTGCAAAAGTATTGCTCATTTGGATAAACTTGCTAAATTCACGCTCTTTCATTTAGACCTAATTTTTTATCGACTTTCATTTGTAAATCCGTTTGATTCAAAATTAGTCCATTCGGACCGTGTTCTACCCAAACAACCACTATATAGTTTGAAAAATGCATTTAATATTTCTGGCAACACCATTTATTTGTCTCTCAGCAGCCTACAAGGGGATTTGATTGCATCATATCGGGTTAGTCACTCATCTCTGTCTCTCTCTCACAGCCGGCAAGTCACGATTTGGGAATCTGCTTGGTCATTCCCCTGGCAAAACAGACAAACTATACATGAAAGGTCCCGGAGGACGTGGGGAAGTTGAAATAGCTGTTTCCGGTGTTGCAGGTAAGGAGTTTTTACTCTATAATTTAGTGACGGTATAAAGTTTTCCACTTAATTTTTTGTTTGATGTTCTAGAGGAAATGTTGCTCTGAAGCGTAAAACTATTATGACCTTTATGGGATAAAAGAAATTAAACTTAATTGGCACGATTGGGTGGATGTGTACTTTTTCTCTAAATTTTGTCCATTCACAATAGTTTAGATGGAGATTGATTATCATGTGGCCCGCACTTAATTACAAATTTGAAGGGTCTAAAGAAAATTATTGGGACAGAGGTTAGAAGATGTGACTATGGGACAGAGGTCCAGAGCCGAAGGGGTAGAGGAAGACCTAGGAAAACTTTGGAAGAGACTCTAAGATAAGACTTAGAGTACTTGGATCTAACGGAGGACATGACACATAACCGAGCACAATGGCGTTCTAGCATTCATATAGCCGACCCCACTTAGTGGGAAAAGGCTTTGTTGTTGTTGTAAAGAAAATTATTCCTTACAAAATAGGATGAGTTGCTGAGCTAATTTTCTTCTCTATGCTAGTAGGAAATTCATATGAATATGATTTACCATTATCTTTCTTTCAAAGATCATCTAGCTTCATGTGAGGTTGTTGCTCCTGCGTGCTTTTGTGATGAAGGTGCTATTATCAAATAATTGATCCTATGATGTAAAGGTTTGTGTCAAATACTGAAAGTAGATGTTATGTTATCAGATCAAAGCCAACAAGATCTGGGTCCTTTTTCACCTGTTATATCCAAGACAGGATTTGGGATTGGCTCCATTGTTCGCAAAGCAGCTTCTGTTGCATCTGTGGCTGCGAAGAATGCCTATGCAGCTGCTTCTTCTACCCATAGTTTTGATGATGAGATGGTACCTCTCAAATGTTGCTTGATGTCCATTTCATTACCCTGGGAACAGATTGCATATGATCTTCTCTTTAAGGTGAGTTGGTTAATTGTAACCTGTGGAAATAAGTATTTGATCACTCCTTCCACACTTTGAAGTGTACTAAAATTTAGTTCTCTCGTTTGTGAAACGCAGGGTACTCCTCCAGTGACATTGTAAGCATCATTTATACTTCTCACTGGCAACGAATATCATAGACGAGTCTATACACTGGCAACAGGAAAACATGAGACAAGCAGAGATGTTCCATCGACTGCTATAAACGTAAAAATGGTAAATCAATTGTACGTGGAGTCTCATCTTGCTGTTCGTGTACACATCTGGTGGTGCTGGCTAAGGGCCGTTTGTAAATTGTATTGTAAAACATTTCTTTTCTTCTTTACAAAACAAAAGCAGCATCTTCACTATCAATGTACTTTTCCAGGTTCAGTGAACAATAAGCTCTAGCTATATAATATTTATTGGAGAGTGGAAGCACTTTTTATACACAATTTCGTTAATGGCTAGAGTTTGATTTGTGATCATGAGCTAGTATGGTCCTAGCACCATAGGGGATTTCGACTTTGTAGCTTTTAAGGTTCTATTCTTTTAGGCCGGTTTAGATGGGGGATTTTAACGTAGCCGCCAGCCGGTTCTAAATACTGCAATATTCTTCGGCAATAACATACTCGTTTTGAACAATGGCGGATCCATAAATCTATCTTCCTGGTGAGATCAAACTCATGCGCCACTTTGTCCAGTTGCCCTTAGCTCCCGACACTTTTCGACAATGGCGGATACATACATTTATCTTCCAAGGCAAAATGAAGCTCACATGCCACTTTGTCTAATCAAGGCACTTCCGTAGCCTCTTGAGACATTTTGTTAAACATTTTGCTCTCATGACAATATACTCGCAACCAGCGTCAAAAGAACATTCGACAGTTTATGCACTGGCCCTATTGTCGATCCGTTAGTGTTCTTGCGTATCATATCAAAACGTATTAGGATAGCCAAAATGGGGATTTATAATGTATTGTTTTCATCGGGCAATATATACACTGGTCCTATAAAAATGTTATCCAAAGAGACTTGTAAGATAAGCCTTTGAAGCTAGCCAAAATGGTGAGTGGATAGAGAAATGAAATTAGCTAGCCTAACTAGGTCAGGTTCGATTCCTTCCAATGTAACCGAAAAAGGAATATATTAAATAGAGCGGTTTCATCTCTTTAGCTTTCTCATCAATCTGGTTAACTTTAGACCATATTATGTACGAAATATATTACAATAAAACGAAAGACAAACCAGACCAGAATTTTATATTAAACACTGTTATAAAAAAATGGAGGGAATCGATTAGGTTTCAAAACTGTGCAGCAGCACAGCACATGAACCCTACTTTGGATTTACCAAATTTGATGCGGCACACTAAAAGGGAGACAAAAACCTGATCAGTAATTAAGCGTTAAGAATTAATATTTCATTAGATTGTATTTTTACAGGTTAATTAATGCTTCAAACGCAGAAGAGAACGTGTGCATGTTAGCATCCACTTATATTTTGGTCTGGATTTACTAATGAGAGCCAAACCCTTTTACAAAACGTCCAACTGAGAAAACGTCCAGGAATGCTAACTAAGAAAACTGCCTTGATTCCTTTGCACGAAATCTTAATTTGTATGCGAGTATTTTATTCGAAACGCCATGTTCTAGGAACAAAAGAATAATATGACAAACGAGGTATGCTTTTTCTGGTACAGGGGGTAATATTAATGGAAAATGAGGAATTTGAACACAGAACTTGCTATTAACTACTGGAGCTCAACTCTTTTCAAACGAAATATTCTCAAAAGGCTTACTAATGCATCTCACATGGGCATTATATATGGTGAGCTGAGGATTATATATATATGCACTGGTTATTATTTGGATATGACGTTAAAGAACGATCATGTTGAGAAAACCTATCTCTATACTTAATTTAGTTTTCTTTATTTGATCACATTTATTGACACAATTGATTGATTTTAGGTGAGAATTGTCATTTGAAGAATAAACATTAGGATTCTAGTCTTAGGTTGATTAATCACTTCGGGAGCAAAATCTGACACTTACAAACTAAAAGCGAAGCTCACAAAAGCAGCTTATACACCCTAGATAGTCGATTTTGTGACTTTCTAAAAATGAAATCAAATTAAATTAAAAAATATATATATATACCGTAAGTATGAATGTTCATCCTTTTAAACATATAAGACCTTGTTTAAATATACATTTATTATGAGTTCGACCGAAGATCTTGATTTTTACAATATAATATCAATTTGAATAATTCGATCGTATATTTTTGAGAAATTTTCCAAACACAGGTATGTATATTGATTATTGAGAGAATCAGATCATCACCTTCTCAACTGCGTATTCCATACGTCTTGTGCGTAATTTGTCGGCTAAACTTTCAGATAATCTGTTGTTTGTTTATACATTTTTGTTTGATTCTTCGTGATTAAGCTAAAGCTAATCTTCTGTTGGAGCCCACCATCTCCCTCTTCTTAACAAAGCAGAAACCCTACTACCACACATCCCCATTTCCATTCCCCCTTTACACAAAAGTTGTGCACGTAATGGCACTACACCAACCCAAAAATACATTTAAAATATTTTATAAACCAAAAATAAAAAGAAACCCTAGTTCTTTGTTCAACACAAACTTTTCTTGGACAAATTACTCTCACTCCTCCCAAACTTTTGCATAGGGTGGACCCCATGTGTCACTTTTCCTTCGACCATAAAAACTCAGCCCCTCCTCTTCGTTCCTTCCCTTTTCTCTTCCTTCCCTCCCTCCCCTTCACTCAAATGATGATGAGTTCTTCAGCCATGTTCTTCAACCATGAACCGGCCCACATGGGCCACTTTGAGTGCCCGGTTCAAGAAACCGAGCTCACAACAGCCGAGATTCAAGAGCTACTGTCTTTGCTTCAAGCAGGGAACTCGGCCTCCCCAAGCTCAGAGGGGTCGAACCGGGAGGTCTATACAGTTGACGAGAGAAAGCGTAGGCGGACCATGTCAAATCGCGAGTCAGCCCGGCGGTCCAGGTGGAGAAAGAAGAAGCATTTAGAGGACATGACGAACGAGGTGGAACGGTTGAAAATAGAGAACCTGGAGATGAAGAACCGGTTGGGGGTGGTTGCTCAAAAGTGTCACGTAACATGGAGAGAAAATGACCGCTTGACATCCGAGTCCTTAGCTCTATGTGCGAGACTTTCGGATTTATACCGGATTTTGATTGCCATGGAGATGCAGTACTCACAATAATTATTAAAGTAACAAAATGATGATCAATAAGCTCTAATGAAGATTAATTAGAGCAAGGTTAAAGAGTGGTATGGTTTTGTGGGGTACATTAGGCTGCATGCATGGATCAGCGTGTCACTGAAAATGATAGTTAAATAATCGTTTAGGTTTTGCTTTTACTTTTGGGTTCCCGTTGTCGATCGGGGAAAACTTTCCCTTCAGTAGCTTTGTACGTATTGAGGACTAGCACGTAACCATGCATGTCTACATGTGAAAGAGATGCATGAAATGAGTGCATGTAAGTTTTTTTCTGTCAATATTTATAGCCATTTTAGCTTCATCACCATGCATGCTCGATCACGCTTGTCGCTTCGTGAACTTGAGGCTCTTGTTTTCGCCTTTTTTATTTTTTTTATTTTTTTAAGGATTGGTAGCAGGTAGCTCTGCATGTTTGTTTCAAGTTGTTGGTCTAAGTAAAGATTCGCTTTTTGGACTTGCATGTTGAAGACCTCTTTTTTTCTTTCTTTATTTTCGTAATTTAATTCATCTAATGTTCTCTGTTACTTTAAATTTGATGCTAGCAAGCTAGCTAAGATATAGTTTGGTTATTCATCTCCATGTCATACGAGAAGGCATGCTGAGAGTATAAATTTCATATCAAAGCAATAAGGAACTTCAACTTTTGAGTAAATTTTAGCAATGATCCCTTAACTTTAACTCAATTGGAGTAATGATCCCTCAACTAAAAATTCATTACCATTGATCCCTCAATTCATCAAAATGTGCAGCTATGTTCCCTCAACTAAAAATCCATTACCATTGGTCCCTTAACTTTAATCCAACTGGAGAAATGATCTCTCAACTTTAACCCAAATGAATCAATGGCCCCTTAACTTTAACCCACTTGTAGCAATGGTCCTTCCAACATAACTCATTTTGACAAAATTCTGACGAAGTTGACGAAAAAGACCATAGCTACACGTTTTGATGAGTTGAGGGACCCAATTGTAGCAATGGTTCTTCCAACATAACTTATTTTGACAAAATTCTAGCGAAGTTGACGAAAAGGAGTATAACTACACATTTTGATAAGTTGAGGGACCAATGGTAATGAATTTTTAGTTGAGGGACCATTACTACAATGTACTCTCAACTTTTTATTATGTATCATAACATGTTGGTTCACGCATGAAGCCCAATGATCATACGTGCTTCATGTTACTAAATTCTTGTTGTCCACCTGTTTGAAACGCCAACTTTTTTTCACAAATCTGCTGGAAATGCGATTAACAATTATTCTTGGTACATCTTGTCGTGATTCGTGAACAACCCTAAAAAAACCACCACCTAAAGAGAATTGGACCCATAACAATGATGATTAACTACGTACTGTAGCTGTCTTCCAATCTAATGAGCAATTTGTCTATGGATTAAATTGTTACTGCTCCAAGTGGTGTTATTAATATACGTACCCATCTACGTCTTTTAACTAAAAACTGTACGAGAAAAATTAAAGAAAAAATTGGTATCTAGATTATGCAACATAGGACACATGGACTTACCAAATGGAATGCCACAAATAAAGAGGAAAAAAGAAGAAGCGAAGCACTAACTCATGAATAACATTTGTATGTTCATTATCAAGCTACGTTCAACAATATATGGGTCTCTTCTGCCATTAGAATAGGGAAGAATATTATAATTCTAATCCATCAATCTCACAGGTACGTATACCGCAAAATAACCCTAACATATGAGGGATACACTTGTAATTAAGAGACTATTTGGTTCCTTATCAACTGTTATACTTAGGAGTGCAAAGTTAGATAGAAAATACCGATTTCGAGCCAAATATTTGTAACTTTGATACATCAAAATCAAATTTTAAAAGTTTGGAAAAAAGAACTTGGATTCGATGTGGTATGTATCTTGAATTCCGTAATATATATATATATATATATAATTATACATTGTATTATACTAGAATATACTTTATAATTCCGACCCATCATAACCAACTATCATGCACACATATGTAAGGTCCAAACCCTAATACATTAAATTATGTTATTAGTACTATGTTTGGGTTCAATATTTTTCTTTTAGGGTGATTAAGAATGAATAATTAAATTCTGATCTTATTCTTTACAGCTAAGCTAGGTCGAGCCTTTTAGATGTAATCGTAGGTTTGGACTAGAACCAATCACCACATCTAATCTAATTAGGATCCAGACTTCTCCAAATAATTATAAGAGAGTTACTAGACCTACCCCATAATCCTATTTCCCCACCCTACCTTATATTACCACCCCTCGAAAAAGTTAAAAAAAAATTAAAACACTCTTTCTCCACCCACCTATATTCCTAAAATGTCCTTTACATATTCTACTATTTTGAAAAAATTGAAAGAAATAAACTAAAAAAAGCACTCAACCCAACTACCAACCAACCACTTACAACACAACGCAACTCGATGGCAACCTCTCGATCTTCATTTTTTCAAACAAGTCCAAAGCCTCATTCTCAAAGAAAGTGCGGAAATTATCGCATTCCAAGTACACATTTTTTTAACTACCATTTGCTGGAACACATATCCAGCGCTATCCAAACAACCAGTCTTCCTGTAAAGATCCACCAGTGCAGTCCCCAAAAACGCATTCAATTCAATCTCATTCCAAATAACATGCCTATGGTTTTGCTTTCTCCAATAAATAGATCCCAACCCATCCAAATTAGCACAAGAAGAAAGCACACTAACATAAGAAGCTTCATTGGGCTTTCACAAAACAACCCAGATGGGGAAAACATTTAGAAAGAAAAAAAAAACAGATGGGGAAAAATGAAAAAAGGAGGATAATATTGTGAGGGAAGGGAATGAAAAGGAGCTGAGAGAGCGAAGTAAGAACAGTAAAAATCAAGGATTGCACTTTGAACAACTTCTTGGCCTTATTCGTCATTTTGTTAAGAGATAAACTTGTAAATAAATTTTTATTAAGATATGGGTGGAAAAATAAGACACATAGATGAGAATATCAGCATCTAATTATAATTACGATATTCTCTTGGTATATATATATTGTGTATGGTATATATCATGTATATATGTGCGCTACATATTTTAGGCTCGCCAACTTTAGAGAGATGTCCATTCGAAGGAAAAGCAGTGCAACGCTGTACGTTATTTGGAAAAATCGGAGGAGGAATAGTATGGAAGATTCTCAAATCTCACATTTTGCTTTGCTTTAGTTAGCGCATGATGACTTACTACTTTAACTTTTTCCCATTACTTGTTGGCAAAGCGGCAACTACGTACCTCAGCTGCCTAATTGATGCGATCGACATGCTGATGTTTCTGTGGTTACTTTTGTTTTGCAAACAAGAGGCTCTGGCTTTTCTAGGCCGCCAGTGGATATCCGTTAAACGTTAGCCGACATTCGTTAAACGTTACCTAGTTAGTAATTTAAGATAGTGTTATTTAGTTGTCTAGATTTGTTCCAAAGTAAATTTTATAATTTGAATTGTTCATTTTTTAGATTTCATACATAAATTACAAATGCAAAAATTCATTGAAAATAGAATCATTTAGCCCTTTGATTATCATTGTGAGCATTTCATTATTCATCAACAATATTGTGTTTGTCTATTTATCAAGTTAGAGTTAGATAACTAAACACAGGTTTTGAATTGAGTGAACTTTGCATTGTTGGTCTTCAAATGTTAATTGGTTCAAATTATGATAAATATTGTGAAGTGAACCTGTACAAGTGGTAATCACCGCATTGAGTTATTAGCTGATTATTATCGCATGCATGAGCACGATCATGTGCAATTCACATATTCCATAAAAAACATAAATATCATTCAGACAAAGAAAATACATTAATAGTTCTAACCTAATATGGAATTCCGAAGCCATTCGAAATGGGAAATGTAGTCAAGAGAGTTACGTAGCTACCATGGAAATAGCCATATATATATATATATTTATGGTTGATGGATAAAGAAAAGGTGCATGGACAAAATATTTGTCTACCTTATAAGGCAAGCAATTAATCTTCAAGTGGATGGGGCTCTTTCAATCCAGATGCAGGCAGTGGGTTTTGAAATTTTGGATTTGTAGTCCCCATCTGATCACCAAAGCACGTATCATTCCGGGGATAAAAAAGCAAAATAAAGAAAAGGAAAAAGAAACGCCCTAGCTAGGTCGACCGATTTGATTATTCAACTACAGAAAAGCAAAGGAGGTAATTAACACTCTCTAATGCACGTTTGGTTGACCATTAATCACGACTTGGATACGTTAGTCCTTCAAACTCCGGAAAATGGTGGAAGAGCACAGTAGAATCCTTCAAACTCTGGGAAATGGTGGAAGAGCACTGTATCTACTGTCTCTGTTGTGTCTCTTCCTGGATACTTTTTCTTGACACTGTTCTTAGTTGTTAACAACTTAATTAACACATGCATAAGTGGCTGGTAGTAATTAAAACAAAAGTACTGAGAAAAGTTGGTGAAAGTAAATTTCTTTTTGACTTGTTATGCAAAGTACGCGTCGTGCATGCATATATTTTTAGATTTGTAGGTCATGGTTTGGATAATCATGTAAATCTCACACCTGAAAAAGGAAACTCGATTATATCCCATATACGTTCAATCTCTTTTTCCTTCTTCCTTCTTTCTTCCTTCTTCTCTTTTGCAGTCAGTCTTACAATTTCTTATGGCAAAGAAATGTTTATGACGGTGGGCACAAAAAAAGGACACATTTATTTAGACTTATCCGAGGTTACCACACTTTAGATAGATTAATTAGAGTAATGCTAAGTAAATCAACTTTTTAAATTAAATTTGCTAGTCATATGATACGTCACTAATAGAAAATAAGCACGTCAATCAATACTTAAATAACAATCTAATCATCAACAACTACGACATATGATTTACAAAATTTGATTTAAAAAATTAGTCTCCGCAACATTACTTGATTAATTAAGAGTGAAATGATCATGCAAATAATGGTTGATAATATTTCTTTTTGGAGTTGAGATTTTGAGTTTAGTACTTCTTCGCCTAATATCGCTTGTACGATAAGTAAGGAAAAAAAAGCTACTAATTTGAGCCATCTTAACTTTCATTTCCATCTTTTCTTTCAGTCATAAAATCTTTCCTTTCAGTCATAAAAAGATAAAGTAGATATAATCTTTCATTTCAATCTTCCTTCCATGAGTATAATATAATTTTAGTTGTCCTATAAAAAAAAAAATTGTGTTGAATATACCAATATTCAAGCTTGCTCTTATCAATCGGAACATAAAATTGACTTATTTTAAAATTTGAACATAAAATTGATTTGGACACGTGTCCATCCTGAATTGATTGTAAGCAGGACCGGCTACTACATTCTTCAACAGCTAAGTTCTTTCCGCTAAACCCAATGCAAGCTCGAGTTATTTCGAGCTGATTTAAATACTAGGGTATAGAATGGAGTAGCCACTAACAAAAAGAGGGAGACCCACAAAAGGCCAACCTTTGGGCTTCAATTATTTTTATGGACTAGGGCTTCAAACTAGAGAGAGCAAAGTGGTATAGGCTCTTCGGATCTCGCTGGAAAAACAATTATTATTATTTCGGGACGTTTTCCAACCGTTGAAATCTGTACAAAAAAAATATGAATAAAGGGTATTTTCGTAAACTGAACGAAATTCAAATCCTGCTCCCCTCCAAAAAGCATTTGGCCGCCTCCGGAAGTTGAACTCCATCAGTCCCTCAAACTCTCGGAGAGAAACAACATCGACGGCACCAATGGAGAAGATCTGCATAGCGGTTCCAGTGAGGCCTCCGGTACCTCACAATTCCTCCAACGGAACTCTCTGGAAGGTTGACGACAACCGCATTTCGCTCCACGAGCCCCACGGCAAGCCGATCTCCGGTATCTCTTACGCTTTCGGTAAGCAAGCACATGAGACTTAGCATTTTGATTCTGATTTCGTTTGGTTTGGTTTCGGTGAGATTTGATTGCGAGAAATGCACTTTTATTGTTTGCAGATCATGTGTTCGATGAAGGTTGTACGAATTCTAGGGTTTATGAGCTACTCACCAAGGACATTATTCATGCCGCAGTCGAAGGATTCAATGGTATGTGAAAAAATTGAATCTTTATTTGCTCCGTTTCGATGGTGTTTTGCGTTTAATTTGATGTTTGTATTGACGTTTGTAGGAACTACGTTTGCTTAATGGGCGGACTAGCAGTGGGAAGACTTTCACCATATTTGGTTCCGAAACAGATCCAGGTATCATTCATCAAGCCGTTAGAGATCTTTTTGACAGAATACAGATGGTAATGACCTATATGTGCTTTCTTAATTTGAAATTTGTTGCTCACTGTATTGAATTTGATGGTTACTGTGTTGAATTGGTTGCTATTTATGTTTCTAGATGTCGCACCGGGAGTTTCTGATTCGAGTATCCTACATGGAATTGTACAATGAGGAAATTAACGACCTTTTTGCAGTAGAGAATCAGAAATTCCAGATTCATGAGAGTTTGGAGGTTGGCTACTGACCATTTTGACAAATTTAGTTAGCTTCTTTTAGGAGAACTGAATTAACTGATTTTTTCGTGTTCAGCGTGGCGTATTTGTTGCTGGCCTCAGGGAGGAAATTGTCAGTAATGCTGAACAGGTGTTGAAGCTCATTGAATCTGGAGAAGATTTGCACTTTGAAACCAAAACTTGAAGAACACGGTTTTCTGTTCTTGTGTGCTCCTTCAGTTGAATGTTTGTCATTAACCTGTCTCTGGCAAAATGTTTCCTACAGTTAATAGGCACTTTGGAGAAACGAACATGAATTCTCGGAGTAGTAGATCTCACACAATATTCAGAACCAATTCAAGACATCAGTTCATAAATGAAAACAACGAATTACATGCCACTCCTATAAAAAATTACACTGGCTCGAATTTTGAGATGATTCAGATACCTTTTTGTGCAAGGAATCTCTTTCTTCTTTCAAAAGCCGAAACTCAGCTCAAATAAATGGAATTTAATTTGGTAGAATTGGTTTTGTTGCACTTATATTTAGAATAGGAATGTGATTATGTAAATCCAAGCAGATATAGGAATGTATCTTATATTCCTATTAGGAGTTGATTACCTATTAAATATTATAATCCTAAAAGGAAATCTTTTTGTCTATCCTACTACTATAAATAAAGGCACAATTGGTGAATCAACACTTCTCACAATTAAATCACTCTCTCTACTCTCTAATTGCGCCCAGCCCTCCCTCTCTCTAATCCCCTATATTAGTTCAATCAAATAAGCCTACAACAGTTTTGGAATTTTGTTTGTATAATTATTTAAATTGTTTTCAACTGGTGTCGCAGCGGTTTCCTTCCATCAAAAAGGCTAAATTTACTATAGTACATATACCCAATCGTAGAACCACTTGACTCCCACTATCAATATTTTTTTAGCTTAGAGAGATCGATGGTTTCAAAATTTTAGGATTTCTTCTTTGTTTTGCAAACAATGTCGATCATCAACACACTCGTTCGCATTTTAGTTTTCTTCCTCGCTTCGTCATTGTTTATTGGCATCGGACAAGGCCAAAAAATATTAGACGTAACCAAATACGGTGCTGTGGGAGATGGACGGGCAGATGACTCCCAAGCTTTTTTTAAAGCGTGGAAAGATTTATGTCAAGGAAATAATGACGCTACGGATGACATACCGATACTTATTGTGCCGGAGGGGAAAACGTACTTATTGCAACGTATAAAATTTGAAGGTCCATGCAATTCGAAGAGCGTTCACGTTCAGGTTCTAGGGAATTTGTTGGCTCCTATGCGTGGTGCATGGAAAGAATGCAATTCGGGGGATTGGCTAAGTTTTTCAAACATTGAAAATCTAATGCTCGACGGCTCAGGAAAAATCGACGGCCAAGGGGCTGCGTGGTGGAGGACCAGCCAGTATGATGCGAGATCACGCAAACTCTTGGCAAATAACGACTGCAAACCAAATAAGGCATTGCAGTTCCACAACTGTCAAAACCTTAAACTCAGCGGACTGACTTTTCTGAACAGCCCGCAAGCGCATATTGGTATAAATAGTTGTGACAATGCAGATGTCTCAGATTTGAACATACATGCGCCGGAAGACAGTCCAAACACTGATGGTATTGACATCTCTTCGTCAACCCATGTCACCATTCGCAACTCGTTTATCGGAACAGGGGATGATTGTATCGCCATTGGCGACGGGTGTTCCTTTCTCTACATCACCAACATTGCGTGCGGACCAGGCCATGGAATTAGGTATGTCTCCATTCTCTTCTTTTCCATTAATTGTTAAATAAATGTCGTCAAATGCTAATCTTCATTAGTATTCAGATTCTCATAGATTAATTCTCTTTTGCAAACAGCGTTGGAAGCTTAGGAGAAGATGGAGCTAGTAATAAAGTGGACAACATATACGTGAAAGATTGTAGTTTTACTGGAACTACAAACGGAGCGAGAATAAAAACGTGGCAGGGCGGCTCCGGGTATGCGAGGAACATCACGTTTGAGAGGATCAAACTTGACAGAACCAAATACCCTATCATTATTGACCAGTACTATTGCAATGGGGAACACAATTGCAAAAGTCAGTCGTCGGCCGTGGTGGTGGCGGATGTGACGTACAGCGATTTTGAAGGCACTTCTGCGACGGATGAGGCGATTAAACTCAACTGCGACAAAGTTTCGGGTGGCTGTCATAATATTTTGATGGATAGAATTAATATAGTGTCAGCGGTCAGGGATATGAAGATTTTTTCGTCTTGTAACAATGCCGACGGAACTTATGTCGGCACTACGGTGCCCGACGTGGCTTGTCTAAAGAGTTCAACAACGGAGCCTGCGACCCCAACAACACCATCTTCACCAAAAACTACCGCTCCGCCGGTACAAATCCTACCATTGCCATCGCCACCACCTATACCGGTAATGCCGCTGCCGTCGCCGTCACCTGTACCGGTAATGCCACTGCCGTCGCCGTCACCTGTACCGGTAATACCAATCATTCCTCCGCCAGCGCGACCAACGGTATCAGTCATACCACCGCCATCGCTGCCATCAATCACCCCACCACCAGAAGATATCATGCCACCGCCAGTGCCAATCACACCACCACCGCAACCAATCACGCCACCACAGTCAACTGCACCACCTGTGCCACAGGGACTAGACATCACAGGAGGGGCAGGGGAGGCTGGCGAGTTAGATCCTTCGTACTTCCCAAGTGGAGCTCCTGGCAGTGCTAATCTACCTATAAGCTACCACCTATTTTGTCCACTGATGGTGGTCCTTGCTGCAACAACTATAATTTTTAATTAACTTCGTAACAAATATTTTTTAACTCGAGTAACACGAAAAACGTTTTACTTGTAAATGTAGAACGAATCATAAATTTTGTATATGTATTGAGTTTTATTTGTAAATGTATTAAATACGAACTAATACTATATATATTTGGTCGTAGTTCCTTGCCACATAACTGCAGTTCTTAAGTACGACGAACCACATAAAACTATTAATCACAAAAATGAATCTTGTAAAACAAAACTGATTCTGAACGCTCATTCTTTGGAAGTTCTGCAAGTAAGAATTGTTAGAATCAGCTCGACATGTTAAGCAATTGATCTTAATATTTTCCTTTGTTGTATAAAGATGAGGCCGAATTGCTGGAGATATTCTTGAGTATGGGCTTTCATACTACGTCACTCATTTGTCCAAAACACAAACAAGAGAGCCTCATGCATTCAAGTCTCACACACGTCCATTTTCGTGGAGCTACGGCAATGCGCGACTCTTGTGTAGCCTTAGATGAATGAATAATGTGACATGGAAGGCCCAACTCAGAATAAATGTACAAATACATGTCGGAGAATCGAAGGATAGAGAGTACATCAGAAGCCATATCACCACAAGTACTTGAATCCCAAACCCAGAGGTGCTTTGCAAATACATCTTTCTTTTGAAATGAGAATATACACACAACAAAATATGCACACAAAAGCACGAAAAGCAGCTAAAATTTTGACACAAAAAATTAGCGACTAGCTAGGCAAAACAAAAGAGAGGATGGGACAAGCAAATGATTTTGTTAAGTGCAACTTTGTAATTGTAAACTACATATCTCTTAGGTTGTTATAATAGGTTGAAAAGTTTGAGTTTTATGGTTAAGTTTAATAATAATATGATTCTCACAGTTGTTAAACTCACACTAGTATCAAAACAGTGTTATAACAAACAACTCGTTTCGTATATACAAGGGATTTCGCAAAATCCATTGTAGAAAGATTAGGAGAACGTCGCATTTGGTTAAATGAGATGGTATATTGGCCGACAATCAGAAAAATACCAGAGAGATTATCTACTTAAACTATATTTTGTAAATCATACATGGTTGTTAATGATTGAATTATTACTTAAGTATTGATTAACGTCTTTATTTTCTATTGATAACATATCATATGATTTGCAAATGTGATCTAAAAAGTTGGCTTGTCTAACATTATTCTTTCCTAGATATTACTTTTCTTTGTTAATCTCCAAAATTTCTATGTCGATGATACCTCAATTTTTTTCAGGATACCATTTGTAATACATTTTTTTTTTTCTCAAACTTCATCGTCATTGTTGATACTTTCCGTCGCGATCCCCAAATTTCCACGTTGATGATGTAAAACACTTGCGTGATCTGTAGGGAATCAGTTTTTCCATTTTTCTTGATGGAACATAAACTAATCGAAGAAAGTTGGAATTGGCCACGTAAACAAGACAAGGATAGAAACTATAAGATGTCACAGACTCACATGACGCGTGCTTAAATTATGCTCACACATATGCATGTCAAGACAATATATCAAATATGCTATATCTTGTGATGCACGCAATTACAATACATAACAAAAGCAATGTTATAAAATATTCTCTTATTGCTTACGTGACATCTTGATCTTATGTTGCCAAAATTTCGATCCTTAACCGTGATTGGACACAATAGCAGAGTCAGGAATTATTTGGTGGGTGAGTTAAACTAAAATTATTACTACGAAATTAAATGCTTAAATTTTATTTTTGTTACCTACATAAAGTTGTATACTAATAAACCTAAAAGTAATATTTTGAAGTAAAGAAATTATGACTCTGCATAACTCAAGTTTCAACTAGATTTAACAAAGAAAACATTTAAAGTTGCAATTTGCAATAAAAAGAAAACATATATCATCAATCTTATTCAACTTAACAAATAAAAAGATGAAAAAGTACCTATTCAAGTTGTGCCCTTTGATCCTTAATAGAATTGAAATCCTTTGTTATTTCATCTTAATCAACATTTTTGTCAATTTTTTTTTAATGTAGACAATCATTGAATATGCTAGAAACTCACTCTCTATCTTGTTGCGAAGTCTTGTTTTAATAAGATTCATTGCTAAAAAAGCTCGTTCGGTACTTGTAATAGAAATGGGAAAAGTCAATACAAGTCGAATTGACCTATCAATCAATAATACCTTTAGGACCTCTTCATTAGATGCAGAAGATGTATCACTCCCTAATTTATCATCATTGTCTCTTTTTCTAAAAAATAATTTAATAAGTCTTAACCTCTTCATTGGACAATTGGTTGGACCTAACAAATTGAACAACAATAACACAATTGTATATGATAAATTATATCTAACAAATCTATCAGGAAAATAATATTATAATTAAAAAGTGAAATTTCGAGTACGAATTCTAAAAATTCAAACAATAAACAAATAAACAAGATCAAGAATTAAGAATAAAATGGTAAAAACCTTCACAATTGACCAGAAAATCAGTAAACTTTCACGCGTACTTCAGAGGCTATTGTGCGTGTACTTATTGGGTGGGTTATAACAATTAAAAATAAAAAAATAGCCCAAACAACTAGTATTTGTAAGCTTAAAGAAGTAAAATTCTCCCTATGCTAGAGCGCACCTTAACCTTGTTAATGGCTTTGCCGTTGATTGAACATATAGTTATAATATGTTTACTTATTCGAAGATGTGAAAGTAAAAATCACAAAAGTCAATTTTCATTTGAATTAAACATATCATTATTTGAATTTGGATTAACAAAATAACAATATGATGTCGTCATGATATGTTCAAAATCATTAGTTTGAACCATTGAAAAGATAACTTTTTGCTTTAATATATGATTCAGATAGTTTGTCAAACTCGTACACAAACTAAAATATATCCATTTGGTCAAATTGTTTGTTGAAGTCCCGAGTTTGATTGCCCCCACCATTGCTCGTGTAAAAGCAAAAAGTCATTTTAGAAGAACAAAAACTAAGGTAAATTTCCCACTTACCCTAGCAACTGACCACCTTCCTCAACCACCACCGCCTCCGCGAAGTGAACCAAACCCACGGTCATGGCCAGCATTCCCATTTCCCACCCACCCACAAAGTTGGTACAATAACTTTTATGCCATGCAGAAACAAATTACACTCACAATTTGTCTCTTGTGACATCAACCATAACATTTTATGGCCACAAATCACAACAAAAATATGGGACCATTCATACAGGAAAAATCCATATAAGACAGATATTGAATACAACACAACATTGGAATTTATTATTTACCAAAATACAGGTAAGTTTTAATACGCAACTTTTTGGTTGGGAAATTAGCCAAAATGATTGTTTTCTAAATTTCGGCTAGCTGTTGAAATAATTCATTTTTCAATATACCGTTTATATTTGATTTTGATCAGTTCAACAATTGAGATTTTGTTTCTAATCATCTTAGCCAATTTCACATTCTTTTAAAATACTATTTTATTTTTACTCTTCAAATTGTCGTGGATGAAAAATTGCAATAAGAAATCAAGTGCAAGGGGGTGGACATACTAACTTCAGTTAAAAACACAGCTAAGACCTAACTTGCAACAAGGCAATACCTAAAACTCATAGGTCATAAGACTCATAACCTCAACCAGTTATACATACAACCTAGATCTCTCTCTCGATCTCTCTCACACACACAAAATAAATACCAACCTTCCTTCTCTGTTCTGCTTCTGTTCAGTCCCAAAGCTGATGGATATGATTTGTCGTCCTCAATTAACTCACCTTCAGAACCTCACCACCGTCTCTCATTTGCCAACTTTTCTACTTTGCACCCCAACTCTTTCTATCTCAGCCCATCCCTAACCACAGAATTCTCCAATGGCTTCCACCCCCAAGTCAGTAAAACTCGCAGATCTCCTCCAAGAGCAGCAAGAACCCTTCGTCCTAGAGGTTTACCTATCCGAAAGGGGTTACCTGAGAAAAAGCTCGAGTACAAAGACCAATTCGAGGAGTAGGAATACCAATTCGAGCAAGAAACTTACCAGATCATCCAGTTGGGGCAATCTCAGCTGCCCTAAGATACTGAGATCTCTGTATAAAAAGCTTGTTTCAAGGCATAGTGAGACAACAAGCATTAAGGGTTGTGAAAAGAGAGAGGGGGAGTCCAATGCCGGCACCAACACGCAGAGAAGTAACCGGGAGAGCGGGGAATCGGATAGAATTTCATCTGCTAGTAGTAGGACGCAGTATGATTCGTGCACCGAGGGCGAAAAAGAATCAACAGATGCAGCCCCTGTTTCGTTGCGAAATGATCATGATGCCTCAGTTGCAGCGGACGCTTCTCAAGTTTCGGAACCCTGCAATATGAAAGAGAGAAAGGTAGAAATACACTTTCGATATATCGTTTTCATGCTATCGATACATTTTCGACAATATTAATGATAGTTTGGTAGCAGGCCAATTTTCGATTTCTACAAAATTGTCCATTTGATTTGCTTGCTAACAAAGCCAACAGGCTGTTACAGTTACAGATAGCACGGCTCAACGGACAATCATCGGAGATTCACCGTAAGCAACAAAACTCCGTTTCGGTACCAGAAGATAAAACTCCCCATGCAAATGCAAGTTTACCTCTTCATAACAGTTAGTCCCTTTCTCTCTCTCTCTCTCTCTCTCTCTCTCTCTCTCTCGCTCTCTTTGTTGGCATACACGAGTTAGGCCAGTTGGTCAAGACCGTGCACTTAACTCCTCTACCCAATTTTGAATTATCCTCACCATTAATTAGAGTAGTTTAAAATATCGTCTTAATTATGAGAATTTTTAAGGAATTTTATACTTGTCAATTCTCTTGTGGCTAAACAGAGTATGAACTGCAAACTCCATGCCCATCCACTTATAGCTTCAACAAGATTACAGAAGACTCAATATTATCCTCTTCTCTCTGGCAACTACTTTTCCACCCACCATTTGAGAACCCAACAGCTTCTGGAGTTTCAGAAATGCTAGAGCCTGCCCGGTCTAGCATCAATCCATCCCCTCATTTTGCAAAATCGAAGAGGGTGTTGCAGCAGACAAGGCAGCTCCTGTTTGATTGCGTGAGGGAGATGACGGAAAATCATGCAAAGAAAATGAAGGATCACCAGCAGCATAACTGCGACCAATTTCTTGGAGCCGAAGAGATTGGGAAGCTGGTTTATGAGAAGTTGGGGGGTTGGGGGAGTAAACAGGCTGGGCACCAAGCCAACGTCAACTTTTTGTTGGAGTCGGACTTGTTGGCTTCGGCTGAAGAATGGGGTGATAATTACCAAGAGAGAAGGGAAATTGGGTCGGAAATTGGAGACGCCATTTTACAAGACATCATCAAAGACATATTCTGAAGACTAAAATATTATTTGGTATAAGATACCCAAGTTAGTTGAGCTAATTGACTTCTAGACACAGCAACCTCATCCCATGAAGACGACCACACACTCCCGGTGCGCCATGGTGACATCCCAGACCGGCCACATGGCATCGCCTTATTGGTCCAGCATGTCATACTGGTGTACCAGCAGTGCAAGGAAGCCTATACGAGGACTTCCACGGTGCTGCTGTGACTTGTGCTAATGATACAATATCATGAAAGTTACTCTCCTACTTTTGATGGCTCTCACAGCCACTCGTGTCCCGTCATCTTATTGTCCCCCATCGTCTTCAATAGTTTTGGTTAGCACACTTTATTTAGATTACTGCTTTGCTCCTTATAGTTAAAGAAGTCGTCAATTCATAACTACAAATCACAAACTAGCACATAAAAGTTTTGGCGAATGATAAAACTATGATTTACCTATAACGAGGAAATGATTGTTACATAAAAAACAGTCGCCTCCTAGCAAGTCATCGTTGCCAAAAGTTGGAACTTTTTGGCAGGCTGCCGACTGCTCTGACACCGACATAACTGCATGGTGACACATCCGAACAAAATGCAAGTTTGATGCTTTTTAGATAAGTGCCCTACATATGACATCGTCGGACTCAGACACCCCTGATCTAGTTTTTTTCCTTCACCACAGAGGTTTTATAAATCGTTAAATCCGTAACTAAACAAAACAAAAGGAGTAAGGAAAAAAAATACAAGAAGCCAATATAAACGCACACAGAGACACAGCACAACCATTTGGAAGGTGAAATTATTTTTCGCCGAAGGACAAAAGAGAAGAAAACCAAACAGCACGGACAGCAAGGACAGCAGGATGAAGCAATAAGCATTTAAACAGGTAGAAGTTGATGTAGATGTTTGAACCACCGGCAATATAACATTAAAAACCCAGAACTAACCTGCCTCATCTCTTCTCTTTGCATTTAATGTTCGTTTCCAAAATCACCTTAGAGATAAGATCACAATCCTGTTATGCATATCTACTTGTTGCAATATCATCTTCAGTTATCTTGCAATTATCAGACCACCACAAAACTCAGAATTACTGCACAGCAACTAGTCAATCCGGTGGTGGGAGAGCTTAATCTTACCAGATCTGATCAATTTTACTACTCGCCCTCCACCCACCGCTGAACAATACACAGCATTCACTTGAAAATTAACTGTTGAAGAATGTTGCATTTTATATTTCGGTCATCCGCAACTTTGTTTTGGTCAACAAGCATCATCAGAATCTTTACACATCATGGTTATCAACACAAAACCCAGTCACTTTCAGACAACGCCTTGGCATAGAAATCGAAATATTCTTTTCAAACATTATGCAAAAGAACAACCACTGGACTCTGGACATATTAATTCTCCATTCAGAATTAACAACAGCAACATGTCATATGCTAAACAAAATAATCTTGGTTATATTCAGCATGTTTAGACCTTGATATGCCACAAAAATCACACCTCCTATGAAGATAGATCAGCAGGGCTTACTTAATTTCCCCATCTTCACCAAGCTCCCCATCTTCAAGATCGTCATGTCCACCACTTCGACGGGAACCATCCCGATGCTCTCTCCTATGCCTTCTATGCCGACTTTCACTGTCAGATTCAGGGGTATGCTACCATAAAACAACAGGAAAATAATCATACATTTTCCTTTCATAAATAGCTTAAAGGTATCGGCCAAATATATTATGAAATAAGTTCACGTACTTTTCTTGATCTTTTGCGGTCACTACTATGTCTGTGTTTCTTAGACTCCTCTTTCTCCTCCTTATCGGAACCTACATCATCGACAGAACTTTGATGCCGCTTCCGGTGCTTTCTATCTTTGTCTTTCTCCCTCTTCTTATCTTCTTTATGCCCGTGTGTATCAGTTATGTCTACATTTTCACCATCTGTTTCATCCTTCTTAGGTCGTTCCTTTCCCTTTTCTTTTTCACGTTCTCTTTCCTTCTCCTTTCTATCTTTATCCTTCCGCTTCTCTTTCTCCTCTCTTTCTTTCTCTTTTTTGGCCTGCAAATTATCAGAATCAGTACAAAATTCCCAATTCAAGATATCAGTTCATAAATGATAACAATGAATTACATGCCACTCCTATAAAAAATTACACAGGCTCGAATTTTGAGATATTGTCTTTAAAAAATGCACCAACAGATTATAGATGACAATAACATCCGCACCTTTTCCTCCTCACGCTTGCGTTCCTTCTCTTTAGCCCTCTCCCGTAAGCTTGTAATGTATTCCTCAAAAATTTCCCTACTAACGCTATCTTCCCCAACTGACCTGAAAATAAAATTAAGAAATAATTTTCAGACCAAAAAGTAAAAAAATTCAGACAATAAAGGCATGATAAATGTTTTTTTTTTTTTATAATAAAGTTCTCATTAGAAAAACCTGTATTCTTGGGTTTCTTCAAAAAGCTGTTTGCTATCGTCCCAATTAGAAGAAGCCGTTATCTCCTACAAAGCACATAACATAGAAGGTCAATACAATCTCTAGCACCACACATCATCCTCTTCCACAAAAGTCCACTGTACCTTGATTGTGTGCAAAAGTTTATTGAAGTCATCAGCAAGTCGTTGACGCTTCTTTGCCTCTTTGTCCTCCTTCTCCTTGGCTCTCTCTAATAATTCCTCGTACACAAGCTTCAAAAGGAGTAAAAGTATTAGCAGACTCAAACACACAAATCATGCACAGGTAAATACTAACAGTCACATCAGTTGTTGCTGATTTAGAAACCAAAAAAAAGTTGATCCTTGCATCCGTGAATTGACTGTTACAGATGATGGCATGATCATGTAAATTTAAATCAAATGAAGATAAGTGGTTACAGTTTAATTATTTACTGGCAGTCATTTTCTTGGCCAGATAAACTGAACCATTAAGGCTTCTTACTACAATGATACACCAGGTTATAAGTGCTAGGGTCAAAATAGCAAAGTTTCAAACCAAGAAGATACAAGAAACACTGACACTGCTACTACCATGTAAATTGTACGAATCTCAGTGAACAAAGAGCCACTTCAACAAATTTTGATTACACACACAAACAAACTTTATTTGCTTAATCGGGGCTGGGAATATGCCAACAATGAGTAAAAACACAATCAACTCATATTACATACCTTTATATTTCAAGCATACAAATGATAGGGAAAAAAAATATCAGTTTTAGGCTAGCAACAGACTGAAAATAAGCAGGGGTTTACCTTGAAGTTAATGTCTGATATTGGTGGAGAACCAATATCTTCCAGAATAGGAACCTTAAACTCTTCAAACGCCAATGTGGATGTCATGGTAAACTAGGTACAGAAATGAAAGATATTTGAAATGTTTCCCAAAATGCCACAGGTTCATAAAATTATACAGTTATAAACATCATACCTTCCCTGACTTCATTGCATCCTTTATCCTAGCTTTATCGTCATGATACTGTCCACAAGAAAAAACAATGTCAGGTATATAGAGTCATCTGAATTGCAGGTTCAAAGTTCTGTAATGCAATCAAACTCTAAAACTGATATTGTATTTTAGCTGTAGAAGTAAGAACATTAAACCCAGAATCATCTGGCAATGGGGGAGAGGACCGTGATCATATATATTGCCATGCAAGGCTCTTAATTTTCTGATGTGGGATGACTGAGCCGTGACAGAGCCAAAACACATGGAGCTTTAGAATATTGGGTGGTGAGGAGCACATGCGATCATTAGCCTAACATATGAATTGCCATCTCTGATACTCTCTATATGTAAGAGCATCCCATCCAAACTGTTGAGAGTGAGTCCCAACATCGCAGAATTAAGGGACCTTGCATGTGGTAATAAAATGTTGGGACTCCTCACATGGCGAAACCTCAACTTCCTCTATAGCATCCCAGCAGGTTAGCCCACATGTTAAGCCCAACAACCGACATGCTCCCACATCACCCAATATGTGTAGTCCACATGTTAGGATTCCATGACCCCACACGTGAGCTATGTGTTGATAACTTGAGAGTGTGAATCCCATATCAGAGAATTAGGGGAGCACGCATGTGTTTACAAGAAGTTGGGCTATTCCCCATATTGCCAATTGGTTTTATAAACGAACCTCAACTTCCTTCAATTACATCTCGATGTATCAACACTAACAATACAAAATCATTAATGGACTGAGGCATGACATGTTAGGCATCACCTGTTTCTCTAATTCTTCAAAAACATCATCAAACAATTCTTTTGGTGTTGAACCAGAGGTGTTCAATGCAACAGCTTCATAAGGAGGCAAGTCTTTAACCTACAACCCAAAGACAGCACTTATGAAACGAATTTCTGATGCAGAAGAAAATCATCAATTGTCTTTGAATTTACTATGCAACTGTTCTAGACATATTATCTCTGCTACAATTTTAAGGTTGAGCACCTTCATACAGTAATCACGCCAGAGAGTTTTAGCTGTAAGAGTGCCATCGGCAACATGTTCTTCCATCAGCTTGCGGAACTCATCGCGGTTTTTCCTTTCTACCCGCCTCAATTGTTCCTTGAAGTTAGAGACAAATATAAGAACATAAACTTGAAAAGGAAAATATCATTTATACGGGATTATACCTTCTGTAACTTCTTTTGCTCCTCTTCCACCTTCTCAAGGTCACGAATATAGTCCTGCAACAAAAATACCGTCATATAATTCTACTAAATTAACATGACCAATCATTTTACACACACAGAACACGCCTGATTGATAATAGATTATGTGACTTACCTGGAAAATGAGCAACCTGGCAAGCTTTTCAAGGCGCAAGCATCTCTCATCATCCTCCAAGCGATCTTGAACTTTCCGCCACTGACTGTTCACCTGCAAATGACGATGACCATGCAAAAGGGTTATAGATACAAGGAATCACAAAAACAAAAATATAATATTAATTATGTGCACATTCATTTTACAAGACTTACCTTGATAAAGTCACAAGATTCCAGAAATTTCCGGTACTCTACTATATTCTGCTTATGGTCTTCAGCTGCCTTTTCTTTTTCCTGCAATTAAACATTGCAACCTATGCAGTAAGAACAGGCATCCTTTGTGACATACGAGTACCTATTTTTTATCCACAAACTTCAAAAGAGAATGGCAACGGAATACCAACACATATGGCAACTAAATGTATCTCAGTATTAGTTTTTTCATGGTTCTGCTTGAGACTTAAAAAACTTAAAATTGTGCACTTCGCTATCTGGTGATATTCCCTATCATCTATGAACTGTCAATGTCTACTCAAGTGCCACATTTAGTGACAGAGCATTTTGGAGTACACCAAAAGGACAATGAAAATGAGAGGAAACCATTTAGGGCAACATCTACCAATGAGAAATTGCCTAAATTCTAAAAGAAGCCACAAATTGAAGGGATATGGAACGAGCGGAAGACTGGACTAAGGATCATAGTATGTGAGGCAGCCGGCTGCCAGCCTATAATCGAATACCATGTGCCTAATATCTGGTATTTCAACATAATTCACACATAAAGCAAGTAGTTCTGATTTTCCAGTCTCTTTATCGGTTACCAAAAATCTTTTGTTATGAATTTAAAATCTGGAGTCAAATATTAAGCCCGAATGTACAACATGACATCTACATCTAGTGGATTGCATAAGTCAGAAAATGTGAAATAAAACGCAAACTGTTACCTTCCTTTCGAGTTCTACAATGTAGCTCTCATAAAGATCTTCCCGGTCTCTACCTCGTTCTACAGCCTTGAATCGTTCATCATTTTCAAACATACTCACAGCTTTGCTGATCAGGTAAATGCATCAGTTAGAAAGTCTAAAACATTTTGTGTTGTAAAAAATACATATACAAAGAGTAAAATAATATCAAACTATTCATGATGCAGGGAGAGACTAAACCTCCATCTAGTTGCTGATGTAAGTTCCTTGGACTCCTTTAAAAAAGAACAAAACACGGTCTTTTAGATAAGAGGTATATAAAGTTGTAAAGAAAAAATGCAATAACCAATTATGACTTGTAATCAACATACTTCCAACATTTTTGTGAACTCTTCCCGAGCTTTTTTCTGCCTCATGCGCCTCTCTTCGTTCTCCAGTTTTTTCCTTTGACCCAAGTACTACAATTCAACGTATATAATTAGTTTTAGGTTTAAACAAGATACGAAATATTCTTGATGAACATCTTGAATATTAAGCAGAGGGAAAGTCATTAAGCATCAAGAATTCTAATTAGATTAAAGTAGTCTTCCTCTTCCATGTAACAAAATAATGACACTCTAAAGCGAGTAAAGACGTTAACCAAAAGTTTACCTCATTAAAAGCTTGCTTCCTCTCACCTAGAGTTCTTAAAGCGCCATATCTTTTGTCAGTAATGATCTCCCTCATTGTCTGATACAACATACCATAGAATATAAGAAGACTCCTCAACGATATAAGACAGTGAAAAAAAGAATGGAAGTGAAGCTACCTGCTCCCAAGTCCAATCGGACTGGACATTTGCAGATTCCAGAAGTGATTTGAATGCAGTTTTTGCCTCCTAAAAGAGAAAATTTATCAGATTATTTTAGAAGAAAGAAGAAAAAGGAAGGCAAAAAAATGAAAAGAAAAAAAAAAAAGAAAAAAAAAAAAAGAAAAAAGAAAGGCACAAAAATGAAACAAAATTGGACAAAGAAACAAAACTTGTACCTGCTTATTAGCATACACCAATGGTTCGTCATCAAATGTTTTCTCCTCTGAAGGAGTCACATTGACTTTTCCAGCAACTGCCATACCTCTTTTGGCTTCCTGCCATAGAGAAATCTCAGAAAAAAAAGATTAAGCATCTGGTCTCGTTAATTGCTTTAAACCACATTTGAAACAGGCAAAAGAACTGCTATGAGATAAGACTTACTACGGCAGAGTGTCTAGAAAAGGTGAAATTAATGTGCATTTTTCCAGTAAGAAAAACACCTTACCTCAATATCTTGAGTCAAAGTTCCATCAGCTGAACTTGAAATATCTTGAGATGCTACAGTTTCATAAGTACTCCTGTAATTTTTCGAGACACATAAGACCAATTTGGACTAGAAGATTATATAAACCACAGAAGGATCAACAGAGCATAGAAAATAAAGCACCCAAAAACATCCATACACTGAATTTGTAGTGGTATTGACCGAAGTAGGAGGAACTCCGGAACTCCCTGAAACAGAAGCGGGCAGTGGACTCACAGTAACTGCAGAAGGTTGACTGCCAACGGCACCAATTATGGAAGGCTGTGCACCAGAAGCAACTGATGATCCAGTAGGTGTGATAGGAGAAGGATTAGAAAAGGAAGACACAGGTGTAACTGCAACAGGGCTCGAGACCATCACAGGTAGGGCTGAAGAAGTGCTGGGGCCAACTGAACTAGCTCCCATAGGTGTTTCAGCTGAAGCAACAGCAGGAGGGGTATGAGAAGTCAAATTCAATTCTGAATGTGTTCCTTGGATTAGTTCTCTTTGAGCCTGTTCACGAGCCAACTGGAAGCATGTACTTCACAGTATAAGGACATTACAAAAAAATAAAAAAGGGAGAAAAAGAATAAACAGGATGAGAAACCTTCAACTCCTCTGGAATTGTCCACTTAGACTCCCTTGTAACCTTGTTGTAATAATACCTGAATCAGCCACTCAAACTAATAGTGAACAATGGCCCCAAAAAAAATTCATTGACATGCATATTGAGAAAACAAAATCAGGAATTAGGAAATTAAACAGAATGATAAGAATACACGCACTTTTTCCCATCTGCAGACGTATACTCCTTCCAAACAGTTGATGCATCAGCCCTCTATTACAGTGAGAAAAATTATTAGCTGAAAGATTATCTCAATCGAGCCATTCCTAAAAGAATACTAAAAGTCTAGCATAATCAATCAAAAAGAATAGGCTCACTAGAAAAAGAAACAACCGTAAATAAGTTCATACAAAAGCGCCCCCCCCCCCCCCCCCCCAAACCCCCCAAAGATCAACCTGAGATCGATACATGTCTGTAAATGAAGATGCCTGACCTCCTGTGGCGAATTACACACCCAACAGGTATAGGAAGCAAATAAATGAAGCTAACCAAATGCATATAACAGGTGAAAAATGAAAACAAAAAGTACTACAACAAAGCAGCAGTGATAGACCGTTATATCCTCTGGTTCCTTTACTTCTATAGAAAAGCAGCAGGAGAGAAGTCCTCATAGTTTATTAACACCAGCAGAGTACAAATTACAGTACCCACTAGAAGTTCTACATATCCTTGCGATTCTTCCATTTTATGCTAGTAAAACTAAGTAGCACTGTTAGGCCTTTCTTTGCATATGGTGAAACCATGACAGATATAACTAGAATCTACACATAATGAAAAGCTGGGACACATGCAAATATTAATCACAGACGTAATAATTGTTGAAGTAAAAAACCCAATCCCAGTGATGTATCATTTCATACCTCTGACAATAGCACAAGAGTTCCTGTGGAAAAAGCCTTTATAAACCATAGACAACAAAAATGTCATACAACTAACAAGTACATGCAGGGACACCTTTTTAAGAAAAAGGTTAAAAATAATACTGTCCAATATGATAACTCTCATACTAACAAAAAAAAGTAAGTTAAAAAAAATATCATAGAACAAATACCACAGTCACAAGAAAACCTGTGACAAGCAGCATCAATGTGGGAGTGTGGGTGCGCATATGTGTCGGACTCTCTGACTGGCGTGCACATGAGTGTACATGCATATGTTAATCTACTAATGCAACTGTGTATGCAAGAGAGAAGAAAAGAAGGGTCGGCTGTGTGCCTGTGCGTTTTATAATTTATTTTCTAAAAACCATACAAACTAACAAAACAGCAAGCATAGCCTTAGAGGGAAAGAAGATAAGAAACAAATAGAAATTGGAAGCACTTAGCTAAGAAGATACTCAAACAAAACCAACCCACAGAGGAGAGAAAAATAAATAGGCAAAAAGTACACTCATCTCCACCAAGGATAATGGATGATATGGGTAATGGCATCAATTACTGCTTGGCATTCATTAATCACATCCAACTACAAGATAAATATGAAGTAAATAACAATTATTGCCTGCCTTGTGAAATGAAACCTCGTCTTCAAAGTGAGCTTATAGAGCAGTCGTAAAATTTCTCCAGACTTGCCATGACATCTACAAACCAGTTAAAGCACATGCAAATAAAAGAATAATTCGCATAAACCAATTTAAGTATAGTTACAACCTAAATTTTTCAAACATCCAGAAATGGCAATAAATTTTCTGGGCAAAATTGCAAATACAAAAAACATTCCAAAGGCATGTTCAACAGGTCATTGGAGATTATAATAAACGTTCTACCCACTGGTAACCAATCAGCAATATGACTCACCTCCATCGGTGTCATCAATTCTAAAGGCTTCTCCCAATTAGATTGTCTTGTCCTTCTGTTGAAATAATATCTGGAAGGAAAAAAAAAAGAATCCATCACAAAATAGAAATAAAACAAGTGAGAATGCATAAGGACAGGAAGAACTTCAAAATAACTAATAAACCAGAGTAAGTCTCAGAAACATCAAACCACAGTGTTTCTCATTGAAAAATAAATAAAGAACCACTTTAACAACGCATCATATTTCATCAACCTAGAAGGAGAAAAAGCAGGCAAAATTACAACATTACCTTCGTCCATCAACCGCCAAATGCTCTTGCCAATCCGAAGAAGATTGCTGTGCTTGGCTAGGAACATTTAGAGCCTGAAAATTAGGAAAGTAAAAATTACAACACAAAGAAGAAAATCCATTCATTTTTCATTGACACTGAAGATAATGGGTTTGCATGATTCAGTGTTGCGTCAGCATCTAAGTGTGCTTACTGTTTCATGGGGCTGTATGGAATCGCAAAAACATGACAAACGTAATTTTAAAATGACAATTTAGATAATGAAATAATCAGAAATTCACGCAGATGACACATCTTTTGGCTTCTGGAGTCGTACCAAAAGAAGATATTGAAACAATGACCTTAACCTAACGTTTAATGGCTTAAAGGTAAATAAATTGAATTTTAATAAATAAAGCACTTACAGAATCAGTGGAAGGAGTGCTTGAAGATTGTTGGCTAGACTGGTGTACTGGTGAAGGAACTGCTGCACCCTGATTACCAGAGGACACCCAAGGCTGTCCTGTAGCAGATACAACATGTGCTTGCACTTGAGACATCGGCTGAAACTGTGAATTGACATTATTTTGTGGCTGGGCATATGTAGGCGGAGTGAACTGAACAATTCAGATGCACGTAAATATTTAAAAAATATGCTGAATTAAATCAAGGAAAACACATATATACAAATAACACTGTGAGAACTTACCACATATGAGGAAGAATAAGGCATTCCAGGCATTTGGTTATTAAAAGGTGGGACAGGTTGCTGAGACTGTGATGGGATAGATGTAATAGGCCTCGTCTGCATGTATTGCATAGGCAACGCCTGTGATGAATGAGGAAGACCAGGCTGACTTGGCCTGAGAGGATACGGTTGCATTGGTTGAGAATATTGTAATTGCTGACTTTGACTAGCAGGCATCCCAACATTTGGAGAAGGAATACCTTGTCCCATGGGCTGAAATTGTTGGGAAGCTGGTGAAATAAATTGCTGTCCTTGCTGTGTTGGAACCACTGGTCGGTACTGCATTGAAGGGATTTGTACATACACCACTTATTAATAGTCCGCCAGGAAGTAGAGAATACAAAAAGGCACCGAAGATGGACAGGAAAGGAATTTACTTGAAGAGGAGATGAACCAAAACTTTGAGGACCCATGGGAGCAACTGGGGGAGGCCGAAATGGCTAATCCAGATAGATAGGAGAGACCAAAGGAAAAAAAACAGATTCAAAACAGTTGAAAATTACATAAACATGATTACTAAAACACATATTCTTATGCACTTGAAATGATTAAGGTATTTGGCCCCTTAACAACAACGATGAAATACGAAGTTATTTGTCCCCAAGCAAGCCAACATGAACATGGAACATCCTTAAAATATTTTCACTATCTAAACAATAAACTATAATCAAAAGTGATTTGCAAAACAGGACAAGAAATAAATTCATATGATTGACTGCTTAACCATAACAAGGTTAAAATTCAGCACCTGCGCAGCTGAGGATTGAGGGTTATTCGCCATTGCAGCGCATACACAATGGGACCCAACTGCAAAAATCAAAATATAATAAAATCTTGCCAATTAAGTGAACAAGATGGCGCTAGTACATGCCCAAAAAACAGTAAAATGTGACTGCAAATGCATTAAAACAGGTAAAGCACCCTGAATTAATCAATGAATTTGGAAAACTTTCATATTTTAAGCTGAATTAATCAATGCAACCTAAGTTCGCCGATTCCCTGTTCTATCTAGTATCCCCATATCTACGTCCGCATTTGTAAATACGAATTCGACTTTAACCATATACAAAATTCAATTGGTCTCTGCAATTAAAACCTAGGGCAAAATGTAGAGGAAAGGAAGGGGAAGAACACAAGAAGAAAGGGATGGGCAATCGTTCGGAATTTTCAGAGCAAGGAGGAGGAGGAGAAACACTTACAGGCGGACAGAGAGGGGGGGGAGGCAATCGGCCGTGCGAGAACTTCCTTCCGTCGACGATCGGAGGAGCGAGAGGACCTCTGCGACAGTGGGTTCACTACCACTCACAGGTGCTAGGGTTTAAGAAATCGGAGGATTTTTGCTAGCAGAGAGAGCTGAAGAAATCGGAGTCTCGGAGAGAGTTGTAATTTCGGGTATCGACATTTACCGACCACCGAAATTAACCCTGACTTTCGCGGGATTTACACGCAGCCACAGTTAATCGTTTACAATTACCGCTGTGTTGGACCGTTGGTGTTCGGGTCACTCGGGCGGGTCGGAGTTGACCACCACCCCTGTGTATTTTCTTTTCCATTTGAAACGGAGCAGATACGGGATTGTTCGGGGCAACTCGGGCCTGGCCTCTCATAGCCCGCACTGCTTAACCGGCTAAACAAAGTTGCTCCAATTTAAATTCACTCACTAAAATTTGTACAAATTTGTAAAAATGTTATTGTTATCACATTAAGATCATTTGAGACGTCAAAATTCTATATGGACTGTTTTCACAGAGCAAATGTGATTTTTTTAGTTCTGAAGAAGATGTCAAAATCTTACATAGATTGGCATTCTCCACTTTGCTGTCAAATTTGAAAGCAACGCTAAAATATGTTTTTGTTTTACTTTCGTGCTGAGCTCATATATTTTTTTTACTTTTCTTCACTTATCCATTAGTTTATTTATTAAATTCTAACTCACTTGATTTTACAAGTAACCAAAAAAAAAAAAATTTAATTTGACATCTCAATTGGATTAAGAGACTTTTACGAAATATTATTTTACCGCATCAACTATAAAAATGAAATTTAACATTTTAATTTGAGATCTGCTCTAGGTGGTACAAATCCCACGTTGGTTGTGAGGAAAATGAAAAGTGGCATATATGTGCAAATGCCGTCTTCTTTAGTAAGGCGATATGAACATGTATAAAATGAAGAGAAATGACCCGAGATTTTATAAAAGTTGGTTGGCTCATTAAGTACTTTCCAATTGAGCAAACATAAAGGAGCAGAAAAAGATAAGACAACAAACAAAATATTACAAGATTAAACAATCCAAATTACATATACCAAACTGAAAAACCAGTCAAAGTGATCTGCCTTTATGATATGGAAGCCAAGAAACCTTAACCAAACTATCATCCCTCACACTACTCGAACGCTTACACGACAAGTCACCAAACCCAAACCACTTCCCAAATCCAGATCGAACACCGTACTTACGTAACAAGGACAACGTCTTGCTCTTGTCCTTGGGGCCGGGCTTGGTGCACTCTTGGAAGGCCACTAGAAAAGGGTCATCCCAGAGAGCCTTCGAGGAGGAGCTTCGCGAAAGCGGCTGCTGAAACGTGCAGGGAGGAAGAGGAAGCTGAAAGTCGTGTAAAGAAAGTTTGGGGGAAGGCTCATAAGGGCAAGGTGGTGGCGGCAAGTAGTACTTCCTTTCTGTGTGCGTCTGTTTGTGTGAGAGTTTGGAGACGCCGGGCTTGTTTTCCCATGCGAAGGGCACGTTGCCTGGGAAGCATTCGACCTTGTTGCTCATACTTTTGGTTTGGGTTCTAGTTTTTGGTGTGAAAATATGAAGAGGATGTGAAGTGTCAAGGAGAATATATATATGGGCGGATGAGAGAGTTTGTTATTGCTTTTTAGGGTTTTTGTGGCGGCAATAGGTCAATAGGGCCAAATGAATAAAACGTGAGGGGATCTGGGTTCAGTCACTAGTTGGTGATGCCCGCAAGTCATGTGTTTGCACTTTCATATGACAAAACGCATTAAAATGTACTAAAAATATGTGTTTGTTTGGCCAAATGGAAAACTACATGTTGAAAATAACCTAAACATATGCTAGCTAGAGTTTGTAGCTCAAATCATTAAGAGCGTGTAATATTGTATTTGAATTCCTCGATGTTATTTGTAAACAACTCCTCGATGCTATTTAGAAATAACTGATTAAGAGCATTGTCATGTATCCACGTACCCGAGGTTGTATAGCTTCGACCTCTTCCCAATTTGACTTACATCAGACAAAAACTTCAAAACCTTTTTGGAACACCCCCAAAGAAGAAACAGAAATTCATTTTAGTTGGAGAAAAGTGCCTAAAATCTTATTTCTTTCTTTTCATGTATTCTTTTAGCAAAATACAATAATCTGACTTAATTGCATAGAAAACGTAATAAACTTGCCAACAATTAGATCGTAAAATTCAAATATCATGAATACAATTGTTAAATATAAAAAGTCAAAAACTTAAGCTTACCAAGAGAGAAGCTTACAAAAATATTGTCCTTTCATATCCGACTAGTGCAATCGAATATTTCGATGTACAAAAAAAACAAAAAACAAAAAAACCAAGAACTTGACCAAGTTTTAAAAAAGCACAGCAATAGTTTTTTTTCATTGTTTATTAACTAGAAAAAGTCATCGCTCATACAAATATTTCAATTTCATATTCTTATCAAAGCGGATTTTTATGATCCAAAATAAAGATGGACAAAACAGACCTATTGACACACCTCGACCCAGAAAGTCCACTTGGACCCTGAATTGAGCTGTGCTGGCCGACACCTGGAAGGTGACAAAGCCATAAAATGTGATAATGTATAAAAAGTGAATGAATTTGAATCCAAAAGTGTCTAAATACCAGAGTGCGCTACGAGTGGGAGCGAACCCATTTCACACGCGATGTCAGAGCATAAGTAAGGTACAGTAATGTGGGTAAGAATCATACCCTCAAAAATATCCATCAATACTAAAATTCGCCACAGATTCTTGTCGGTACAAACTCAGCAGTTAAAACCTGGATGGCACCAAACAGAATGTGTGAGTAAGCAATAAAACCAAGCTTCCCAAAGTTACTACCCCTCTAAAAGTAATGCCCCTAAATGTAAAACCCGAAATTGTAACTGTGGTTACAAGTGACTAGAATGGAAATAAGGATATACTGCAACCATGCTACTGGTGGGACAAACAAGATGCAACTCGTCCACAAAGGTCTGAGTAACTCATTTCAAACTAATCGTTAATCTAGGGGTAGAAATGTAATACTGAACAACTTCCAAAGGCCAGGGACGGATCACTTCCCGGACCCGGATGTGACACCTATCAAATTAAAATTCACAAAAATAATTTTATGTCCAAACTTTTTTTTATTATTCTCCTATAGTTATCAGTGAAAAATTAAACAAAAGCAAAAAACAAGGAATAGGTGATAGAAAAGTACGACGGAGGCATCATGGGCCTCACTGCGATTTTGAAACGTTGCTGGGAAATGAAGTTGAAGATGCCACGAGACAAGCATGGATGTGTGACTGAATTTGTATTTATCTTATTGCTCTTGCAAACAGACAACCACAAGAGGCTTTTATGTCACAATTAAAAACCAAAGTTGAAAAATTCTCTTTTCTCATGCCAAATGACAATGTGACACACCTATAAGCCTCCATGTAGTTTTTCCAACAAAATAAAAAATAAAAGATCCGGCAAGGTAGGTTAAGTCGTATTTGTGTGTTAATCTATTAAATATTTAATTAATCTTTTACTTTTACTGACCGATTAAGTGAGCAAGAAACACTTAAAGAATTAAACTATAAAAAATACTAACAAGAGTTGGGATTCAATTTTATTATTTTACATTCGAAACGGTGGCCTTTCCATCATTCCGAGAAAAAAATTCAATATGATTGAAACACGGACGGTATATCACTTATATTTATACAATTAAATGGACATTTAAAAGAAAAAACATTTATATCACTTGTATAATTACATATGGTTTACTGACCCATATTTCATGCATACCAAAAAATCTCTCATCATTACCGTCCTTGAATTGATGAGATTGTAATTCAAAATTCAAACGAGACTTGAAATTTTGTACACGAAAGAAATTACATGAAAAAACAATCTTATTGAATTAAAAAATGAGCGACTAACAAATATTATTCCCACAATGACAAAAACCAATGCCAGGGGACTTTATGGAATGTGGAAAAGAAACAAAAACACTAACCAAACTACTTGAAAAACTACACAGATAGATCACATTCATACTGCTCCCTCTCTCCCCTCTATAGGAAGAAAAAACAACTTAAATCTTGGGATGTCTACTACGGAGTAAATATTTAACCAATCGAGTCACATGTACCCTTAACAGTCAAACGCTTTAGGTAACATGAAAAGAAGAAAACGACAAACAATACACACCAGATAGAGGGGTTATTAAAACCATCATAATTAGGTATTGCCATCTAAACATAGTAAACGAAAACCTTTCTCCATCTCAGTATTTATAAAAAGATTGAGGATTTTTAACTACCTGCATGAATAACTAAACCTGGTCTTGGTTTTCTTCCCAGCGTACTTCTTACCCGTGCATTTCACCAAAGCTGCCAGAAACGGATCATCCTCCTTAACACCGCCAACGATTAATCGGAACGAGTTTAACCTAAACGAAGGCTGGATTGAGCATAAAGAAAGACGGCTCTGCCGATCAACCACCACAAACCCAGCACTGCCACCACTTGGGGACGATAAACGAGGAGGCGGTGTTAGCTTTAACTGCTCCATGTTCAAATGATCTAACAGTACTCTACGATCGCGATGATCGCCATGATGTACAGTCGTTGCAGCCTTGGGCATTCCGGGTTCCATCTCCCATGCAAATGGTACATTAGCCCGGGAGTGCCGTGACAATACGGCCTCAGTGTCACTTCCTCTCCTCCGGTGCATGGTGTTTGATCGATAGTGTAATGGTGGAAACTAATGCAATGATCGAGGTTAATGGTTTAGGATTATGTGCTAATTGTGGCCTTTAAATTGGTAGTTTAATTTTGCTTTTGTTTGTTAGGTTTAACTAATTAAAATTGTAGCCATGCGCCAAAAGAATATTGGGAAAAGATGGCGAGCCCCTTTCCAGTTCACGTCATTGTTCAATAGAGTTGTGAGGAATTTTTTTTTTTTTTGGCTTATCTAGCTGGGAGGAATACTTCGTGAAACAAGCACGTAACATAGTTATTAGACGGTCAAAAAGTACTTTAAGTGCTTATTTCAACATAATGTATAACTTTTTTTTATCAAATACGGTCAAGAACACATTTAGTGATCTAAAAGCGCTTTTATACTAAAAGTTCGGGTAAATTACATAAAACTACCTCAACTATTAGGTCAGTTACAGTTTCATACCCTATCTTTAAAAAATTTCAATGTCATACCTTATCTTCGAATTTGTTGCAATGTCATACCTTTCGTCAATTGTCTATCAATTCATCTGTTAAATGCTGACGTGGCTTGAGGCGAGACCCACTTTCTATTAAAAAATTAATAAAATATTTAAAAATAATAATTTACCCTAAAAAAACCCAATCATCTTCCCCGACCCCTTCCCCTTCCATGCAACTCAAATCCAAAACCTCTCCTCCGCCACATCTTCGACTCCCCCTCCCTCCGTTCCTCTCTTTCCTTCCCTTCGTTCCACCAAGTCTCTACCTCTCACGGGCTCGAACCCGACACGACCCGATCCGATCCCCCTTGTCTTCTCCTTCGCAACCACCTCCCCAATACCACACACACACTATCTCTCTCCTCTGTAAACCTTAAAGGAAAACCCCCAAACTTTCCCTCTCCTGACCCGCCTCGACCGCACTTCGCCGACTCCGAGATTTTGATCAAGAGTGGCGGGTGTGCTGAGGAATTTGGCTGGGTTTGCAAGAATCAAAATATTCTAGGTTTTTTTTTTTTTTTTTTTTTTTCAAAATTTGTTTGTTTCTAGGGAGAGATGAGAAGAATGGGGGAGTGGGATTAGTGGTCGGGGAGGGTGGGGGATGTTGGCGCGTGTGGGATATGGGTTTGGGGTGGTTCTGGTTTTGGGTTGAGGGAAGACGGGAGCGAGGAAAATTTTTTATGAGGATAAGAGGTGGGGTGATGGGTTTGTAGGGAGGGACGAAGATGAACGGAGGAGGGAGGAGATGATCGGAGGAGGGGAGTCAAAAAGGTGGCGGAAGAGAGGTTGGGGTAACTGGTTTTGGGTGAGGTGGATGTCTGGGTGAACTGGGAATAAAGGGTGGGGTGATGGGAGTGGGTGGGAGTGGTTTTGGATTTAGGTTGCAGGGAAGGGGAATGGGTCAGGGAAGATGGGTGTTTGGGGATTTTTTTTAAGGGTAAATTATTATTTTTAATATTTTATTAAATTTTTAAAGGGAATTGTTATTAGCACTCCAAAAATCTCATTCTACACTCCAAACTTTCTATATTGGGAAAGAAAAATACACTTGTAAGGAGTGTAGAATAAGATTTTTGGAGTGCTAATAACACTTCCCTTTTTTAATAGACAGTGAGCCCACCTCAAGCTACGTCAGCATTTAACAGATGAATTGACAGACAACTGACGGAATGTATGACATTGCAATAAATTCGAAGATAAGGTATGACATTGAAATTTTTTAAAAATTAGGTATGAAACTGTAACTGATCTAATAGTTAAAGTAATTTTATGTAATTTATCCTAAATGTTCTTACAAACAAGTCCCCATGCCAATTTCGGCTCTCGCATTTGACCATCGGAAGGGTCTCTGTATCTTCATTTGGGTTTGGCCCAACCGTTCCCTTCTATTAAGGCCCAATTTTTCACCCACCCGTGGAAATAAGTACGACAACACTTTCACCGGCGTTTTGATCTCGATTAACGTGGCGCGCCGCGCGCTAGGGTTTTAGGGCTTCTTCCCTCACCAATAATATCCCTATAAAAATACGAAATTGGTGACCAAATCAGCAATCGCAGCCGCGGCCCAGTTTTCTCTCAGTTTTCAGAAGCCAAATTTTGTATAACCATGTTTTTCTAAACGTTTTCAAAACCTGCAAATGTTTTCGAATCTATGAATTGTTTTCTGTTGATTCGTTTGAAATCTATGAATTGCTTTTTGTTGATTCATTCGGTGCATGTGGTGTTGTTTTTGGATTGAGTTTTTGAAAAAATGGGGTGTTTGGTTGCGGTGATTATAAAAATTCCTCGTTCTGAATTTGCCATAGCCATGGCTTGACAGACACCTATACACCCATAGAATATGAGCAACCATTCATTCTCCCATTAACTTCAATTTTTATTTATTTTTTTATTTTTTGTATATTGGCTGTGATTTTCTCAGTCGTTCTGCAATTTTTGGTACCGTTTCGGGAAGCAGCTTGAGAAATACTCTAGCGCTCCTTCTCAAGCCGCTCCCCGGCAACGGTGCCAAAAATTGCAGAACCATAACTGTGTTTAAGATCCAGGCTTTTTGGTTTAGCGTTTAGGGTTTAAGGTTTATAAAGGTTTATAGGAATTATAATTAGAGGAGTTGGTTATTGTATATACACAGAGCATTTTTGCTAATAGTGTTTTCTGTGATTAGACATACTCCTAAATTGGATCTAGGTGGTGTTTAAAGCCCTAATTGACACGAAAAAAACATCCAGAATGTGGGGTTACGCACACCTCCACATTAGCTTCAACTCATAAAAACACGTATGGTTGTGGTTAGAAATAGCTTCTTCGTTGGAAATTTTTTTTCTGTGGCGAGAATACGGTCCAATATAAATGTCATGATACAATCAGTTTCCGTACAATTGCCCTATCGTCTCGTTTTTGTTATGGAGGAATGAAATCCCTAAGAAGGGATTGGTAAAATGCAAGTGAATTGAATTGGATGAGTAGAGTTGATTTTTGACAGAGAGCAGTGATGAGCAGCTAACACGTAAGAAAACATTCCGATTTGTTTGGGATTTTTCAATGAAATACAATTGTTACGCTTGGCTTCTGAGCACTCAATTTTAAGCCTAATGGTATGTTCTGTCGTGCATTTTTCAGTCCGAGAGGCAACAACTTCCTGGATCTTCCTGCCCTATTTAGGCATCATTCCCCATCCATGGTTCTACAACTGTGCATAGACCAGTGTTTTTGGGTAAACAGTTTACGGGTCTGGTCACTGCGACCCCAAAGTTACGAGGTATTTTTGCCCGAGTTCCAAGTTTTGTTCGAATTGTGGAAGACGAGGAAGATGGATTAAAGGACATGTTCAAGTGATATATATATATATATATGTATGTATGTATGTATGTATGTATATATGTATGTATGTATGGTGACATTGAAGGGTACCAAGTTTTGTACTTTGTATTTGAAAAGATTTAACAGAAATGAAGAACTTGGTTAGTTTCTAATTACTCAATGAGCATCTTGTACTGCATTAAAAGCTAAATTAAAATTCAATAATTATTAATTGATAACAGTCGACAGGTTCCAATTTGTTCTGGGAACCTCCTTGACAGAAAAAAATTGTAGTCAGTTTGATAACGATCGAGGGATATCCAACAGAACCGAAGAACAGTTCACGATCAACTTAAGGAAAAAAAAAATGCATAAAACCAAGTCATTCTTTCTATTGGCATGCGAGCGAGATCGGAACCAAGGCCATTGGCAGAAACTCCACCAACAAGAAAAGCTGGGGAGCGAAGCAGCGGCTTTCTTGAGTGGTGGAATGGATCGAACCCTTGACGTATCTTAATTCTAACTCATTTACGCTCAATGTATATCGACCAAAGGAGCCTTATGTCGAAAAGTAGCAAGGAAACCAACAAGCACAAACGAACACACACTGAAATTTAAGAACACAAGAAAATCAGAAGAGACTAAATAGAAAGAAAAAAAAACCTCCTAAGTACTATTTTGCTTGGTAGTAGAGATAAAAACTCAATTCTTTTTCTTTTTCCTTGACCTACAAGGCAGGCAAGGAGGAAGAGTTCAACATATTGGACCCAAGGAGGTCATTGCAAAGGCTAAACCCTTCATGGCTTTTATTATTATTCTCTGCTCTTGGACTGCTCCCTGCACTGCTATTCGACAGAGACCCAAACGCCGTCTTCTGTAGGACCCCAGTCGGAGATGACCCTAAAGATGAAGTGCTATTGTTATTGTTGTCCCAGCTTCCCCCAGTCATCAGATTAATGACTGAAGAGTTGTTCTTGTACTCTACTGCGTTGGTGTTGCTGTTGGGATTGTGCAGGACTTCCCCTAAAGGACCGCCAAGTGAAGTCTCCCAAGCGATTGGAATCCAATTCGCTTGCTTCATGTTGTTTTGTTCATTGAGGGTATGGCTGCTGTCTGTTCCCAATCCCATTGGGGCCGGAGACTCTAGTTCCCTAGAGAGACGGAGTGGTGAGAGCGTGAGCTTCTCACTGCTTGTGGATGAAGCTATGGGGATCGAAATTGATAATTGGGTTCTGTCTGATTGCATGCCGAGTTGGTTAGGCCATGAAACAGGTTGGCGGTCGGATTGAGTTTTAGGCCAATCGTCGATGAAGTGGCGAAGGGAATGCTGTTGTGAATTTGTTTCTGCAGGGTATGACCTTTTCTGTGAAGGATTTAAGAGCGAGTCCGAGGAGACAAGCCCAAACTCCGTTCTCGAGGATTCTTCGCATCCGATTTGCTGTTTCTGAGTCGAGAATGGGTTTTCTTTCGACAGCATGGTGAGGCCTGGTGTGTGTTGAATTCTCCCACCCGCATTCTCTTTGTTCATGAACATCCTGCAAAGAGAAATCAACAAGATACAGAAACAAACCCGTAAGAACCACCAATACGAATCAGACGATTAACATTGAATCTGAGTAGATTCTTGTAACTTCAGCTAGTAAAAGAGCAGTGACCAACAACGCTGATAAAAAGTGAGTGCGGAAATCATTTTTCTAAAAGTAATGCAGCCTCAAAAGGAATAAATGCTGAGAAGATGAGAAATTTTAGGACCACCGAGTCAGCCTAAACTTTTTATTTCACCTGTTCATCTGAGTGGCTACTGCGGAAGAATTAGATGCAGCAGGCTGCTGTAAGCTCTTGAGCTGCTGGTTGGCGATAGCATGGCTGCTGCTGCCACCACCGTCACCACCAGGAATGGAAACTACGGATGTTGATGACGAAGAAGCCAAAGGCTGTTTTGAGGTGGTGGTTCCGGTGTGGCCGGTCTGGCCTTCCACAGGCTTTCTTGAACGGTGGCGACCCCTGTTCATGTGCCGCTCGCAATACTTTTGGTCAGGAACGGCATCTCTCCAGCACCGCCATTTCTTCCCGTCGGTCCTGCGACACCTTCCCGGCTCAGGATCAGTGTTGTTGGAGAATCCCAAATGGATAGAACCCCATCCCACTGCACATACACAACCCCACGAAAATCGAAAAAACTTAGAATGCAAGAGGCATGAAAAATGTAGAAATCTGACATGCGTCCTAACATATGCTCCAAACACCCTTTTTCTGCTCCAGTTTATTTCTAGCATTTGGATTAAATAAATCAAGCGAAATACAAGCAACATAAATAAGCAAAAACGTGTGTAATAAATAAGTGTGAGGAAATCATTTTCCCTTGGGTAAAATGAAGAAATTACATGAATTGGGCCTGAGAAGTCCGTTGGGAAACGTCGAAAATCCTGCAGAATCAAGGGCCTTCTTGATAGGGACGAGTAGAGTGGATGGAATAGGCATATTGGCAGTGATGTATTTGTAGATCAAGGCCTGGTGTTCTAGCTCCATCCATTGAGATGGAGTGAAAGGTCCTCTGCCTCCTGCTGTACTCCAATGCATGGCAGCAGCTCCATTACTCAAACTCCCACTATTATGCCCTGAAACACAGCCAGAAATCAGAAAACCAAAAAATTAATAAAAAATAAATAAAAACCCAAGAACCAATTTTGTAGAAATAGAAAAAAAAAATTAAATAAAATCATGAATTTCTTTCTGTTTTTTTTTTGCCGGAAGAAGAAAGAATAAAAGGGAAATTGGAACCAGTCAAAGAATAGGTTTATTCTTTGCTAGCTCATCTATTTTATTTCTCCTCCAATCCTTCGCCTTCTAACATATTTCTTCTTGTTTTCACCAAAAATGGGTAGACAACGATTTTTAATAAAGAAGAAAACAACTTGGCTTTTTCTAGTGCTTGACAAGACTCAAAAAATTTCCATGAAAAGACCTCCCACCAAAGTCCTGCTCCCGGGGAACCAAAGCAAACAATGTTTTTTTCAGTAAAACATTTGCCAAACCCCATAAGCTCCATGCAGTTGCTCGTATTTTAAAAAAAAATTGAAGCGACTCAAGTGCTGAATGAGCTAGAAAGGCCGCTCTGATACTTACAAAAACACGACCTTAATTAAACATGATTACTAATTAACTACCTGCAGAAGTTCTATTGTAAGCAGGTAAAGCTTGGTGAAAGTACTGGCATTGCGGCATTCTTTTCAACTAGCACAGCTTCTGGATTGGGAGAGTTAGAGAAGCTCAGTGACTGCTGCTGTTGCATTGCTTTGGAAGATGAAAAATCATCAGTCTTGGCAAGTTTAGAGCTCCTCCAGTCCTCCTCGTCGGCAGATCTCCACTGCCTGTGGTACCCAGATCCGTACAACCACTTGTGCTTGGCCGCCTCCTGATCTGCCGATGAAGTAGCAGCAAGAGGAAAACCAGAATCTGAAGAACAACCACCCCCCAACCCACCAAAACCCACCACCCCAAGATCCATATAGAACACAAAAAACTCAGAGCGGTTTAAGAAAAATGCAGCATTTGGGTTTTCATTTGGCTACAGAAAGATGCAAGCTTTAGCCTTTAAGGCGGTGGAGAGAGAGAGGGAGAGAGAGAGAGGGATGGTGCATTTTAAGAGCTATCAGCAAGTTGATATTTTGAGGGAAAGATTAAATAATTGGAGAGAGAGAGAGAGAGAGAGAGAGATAGAGAAATGCTTCTGTCATAGCTTGATATATGGCAATGGCATCTCCACAACGACAAGTGTTGCGTTGGGATTCAATTAGTTGAGTAATATTTTTATTTGTTCATCTTAATAAGTCTCGCATTCCATGTAAAACATATTCGGGAACCGGTTATCTCCTTAAGCTTGTAAAATGTGGTGCATATCTTTCTCCGTTCACAGTAAATAAAATTTTCAATGTGTCTGAAATATAAAATGGTACACTTTAACATGGACAAGGATTGTTTGCCTTCTCATTTTAGGTGCCTGTCCGTGTCATCCTGTTTGTGTGGTCACGGTTAAGTCACGTCAAAATTTTATATTACTATTCATTTTTTTCTTATTATCTCTATAAAAAAACAATATAAAATGTTAATGTGGCTTAACCATGACCACACAAAACAGAATGGACACGGAAGGGCACCGAAAATAGAAGGACAAACAATTCTTGTCCCTATAACATATGTGCTTGTTTTTCAAGTACACTGAAAAATTTCTTCTCACTGTCTTTACCCTATTTTTTTCACAAATGTATAATAATTTATTTGGTTTTCATTTTTTTTTTTTTTTTTGTTCCTCAAGATGTTTATACACTCTGTAAAAATAACTGTCAAATCTCAATAAAATAGTTGCACCATGATGATGTTACTATTTGTGCATACAATTTCAAAGATCCACTCTTTCAAACATTGATATTTTTTCAATTTAATTATATCTTTACTCATCAAATATGAGTTTTGTTACAAGATGTTAATTTGATGGGAAAGGGATTCTCTTCATATCCCTTCCATCAAGTTCTACCAATCAATAAATTTTAATCCTTGAAATTGGATTCAACGATTAAAGTTATTATAAACTTTAAAAGATGTCATCTGTTTTTAGCTGTTGGATCAAATTTCAAATATGCGAATTTGTTTGATTTATAGAATTTGGTGGAAGGAATCCCGAGAGGATCCCTTTCCAATTTAATGCTACTCAGAATGGAACATTTCATTAGATGTTGTAGACTTGTAGTTTAACTTGTCAACTTTCCAATGTTGTAGTTTACACTCTTCAACATTCTAAGAGCACTCCCACCGTAGCATATTGCTCGGGGGACTGGCTCCAGAACAAAGGCCCGAGGGCCGGTGGATGGCGTCCAGCGTGACGCAGGCCGGGGGACGGGGGAGGCCCGAGGGCCAGGCCCGTGAGGAATTGACAGGCCTTGAGCCCGGGGTGGGAGTGACGCCATGCTGACGCCAGGGTGGCGTCAGCGTATTATTTAATTTTTTTTGTGTCAGGCGCGTGCACCCCACCCACGCGTGGGGCGCGTGCACCCCACCCACGCGTGGGGCGCGTGCACCCCACCCACGCGTGGGGGCGCGTGCACCCCACCCACGCGTGGGGGCGCGTGCACCCCACCCACGCGTGGGGGCGCGTCCTGACACTTTAATCAGAAAAAAAAAAAAGTTTTGTCTGTTACCGTTGGGAAGCCACGTGGCTTCCCACGGTACGTTAGATCCTAACGGTCACTTAATGTGGACCGTTAGATCTCAACGGTAAAAAAATATAAAACTGTCAGATTTAATATCCACCGTTCGATCTGAGATCAACGGTGGATATTAAAATGCTTTATAAATTAAAAAATAAATGAAAAAATAGTTTAAAAAATCTGAAAAGTTACCGTTGTGACACGTGACACAATCTGGAGCGTTGGAATTCAAATTTTTTTATATCCAACGGCAGAGATTAATTAATTGAATAAAAATTAAAAAAAAAGTGTAAAAAATTCAAAAAAATTCAAAAAAATATCTGAAAAATCTGAAAAAAATTGTAAAAAAAATTGTTTTTACTTTTCTATAAATACCTTCTCATTATCATCTACCTTCACAACGACAACGATAATGACACGTTAGGATAATGACACGTGGCGCACCGACAACGATTAAAAATCTTATCCGATATTACATTTAAAATTATTTTGTATTAATTTTATAAATAAAAAAAAAAATAATATTTTATTGCCTATTGCCAGGGCTATAGAAGTGTAACGGTGGAGATGCAAAATCTATTGCCAGGGCTACTTACTGTTCATTAAGGGCAATTACTGTTCATTAGGTGGATTGAATAGTGTATTGCTAGGGGGAGGGTTCCAACGCTGGAGTTGCTCTAAAGCTAATGTTGGGTCTTGCCGCCTAATCTCATAATTTATTGAGCAGTTAATATTGACGCGTTATTGACTACTGACATGTTGTCTAAGGGAGAATAAATAACGATTTTCAACTTCTTATTGAGTGCATTGACAAGACGCATGATAAAATCGTCCAACTGACATATTATCTCCATAAAATTATTGGTAAATAAGTTGTAATTCAATTCATCTTTACAAAAGAGATTATTTATTTCACCTCAACTTATCTAGCATGTTATCCTTATCTTCGAGGTTAGAATGGAGGGATCTGGATCTACTCCAGATCTTAATATCCAAAGATTAGGGATTCAAAAATCTAGACCACATATTTGTGTGAAAAAGAAATCGCAATCGTTGGTTTGTAAGTAGGTTCGCGAAATGAATTAAGAAAACTATTAGATTCAATTTATGTAGCCCAAATTTATGGATTCTTAGACTCCAGACACTAAAGTCGGAGTAGATCCAATTCCAAAATGGAGATGCCTCCTAGTAGGTAAGATACGTGATAACAGAAGCAAATCTCATGGATTTGTGGCTTGCAAAGCGGAAAGCGGTTTCGAGGGTTTTGGTTTTTTTGAGTCACAAAGCTAAAAGGTGGAGACAAATGAACAAGTGGTGAGCTGCATGAACAAAGATGCACCGCCACGTGATCTGGATGCATGCCACAAATATTCTGACCTCATCTCATAATCCTACTATTTTATAATAATGGGTAGGTTAATTAGTTAATTAACTAGTTAATTATATTCTAGACTTTTGTTGATCAAAGTCCATGTCAGCATCCAGCAGGCAAATCTTGGTCAAGGAGAGATGGTGGTCAAAGGAGATTGAATTGATTTTGTTTCTAATATGCTATATATATACTTTATCTGTGAGAGGTCGATCGTTTAGCCTTTAAATTATGGTTATACTTCTCTCATTTCTGCTTTTCGAACAAAAGGTCTTGCTATTCACAAATTCACATTTATTTTTTACTCTTCACATATTATTTTTAACTTTGGATTGTTAGAACAAATTAACAAGAAGCAATTTATTCAAAAAAAAAAAGTGTGTAAATAGTATTATCAAAAAAAAAACTTATCTCCTTTCGGTGAGGAAGAAAGTCTTGATTATGTACTATCGTGATATTATTTTATTATACAAATATTACAAACGGAGCAATTTATTCTCTTTTTCACATTTAATGATTATATTTAGAAAAAATTCTTCATTTCGAAGACAGTTTAGTTATCCAACATATGTAGAATAAACATACCATTGATCATAAAATAATAGATTAAACGATCTCTAAATTGAATTTCTTTTTTTTAAGATGGATTTTAAATAATTTTAAAGAGAATGAGCGATTCAATTATAACGTTTACACGGTAAAATAAATGCGAAAATATGGACTTTCCTCTAGTTGAGTGTGATGGAAGTATTGTTCTTGAATTAATTAACAAAAAGCTTTTGTATGTATACAATAAACATGTTCATGGTATCTGCATTACGTGTAATGAGATTTGCACAGATTATAAAAATAGTGAAATTCTATTTTCTATTGCTTGCACATGAGGTCGATTTTTTTTTCTTTCTCTTCTGTGATATTATTCTTTTCGAATACCCACTTGGTCAAATCCTATCTTTGCTTCTTCTCCGTCAACTTGTCTCTGAAAAATTATTCTCCCTTTCTCTCTCCAATGGCTGCGTGCGTGCACATGCTTCCTTATGAAAAATATTACAAAGCCACGCTTGTGCAAGTATACCCCACTTTATGATAATACTTCCTAAAATATACATGATTATTTCTTAATACCGAAAACTTATTGGTATGAATACATGGTGACGATATAATTGATATGTCATGCACTTATAGTTTAAGTTTTAAAACATAGATCAACATATTATGAGGTTTTGTATTGCTATGCCAATATAACAAAAGATGGTAATTGCTCGATGGACATCAAACTCATTACAAATATTAATAAAGGTTGGTCATTGCAACTGGTTAAGTATCTCGCAACTGTCATTCAGAATGCTAAGCAAATAAACAGATGAATAAGCTTGCTAATTTGCATTGCTACACCATCATAAGAAGGTTGGTCGATGCAATTAACTAGACATCAAACTCATCACAAATATCAATACCGTCACTATAGATGACTGTATGAAAGTTCAAATTAGCATGAATTGGCAAGGCCTCTCACACTACTCTAAAGTTAAATGTCCCCAATTACTGAAGAAGCATAACTAGATGAGCATCAATACCATACATATAAATCAAGTACATGCAGAGAGTTAGTACAACTGAAAATTACAGCATTAATTCGCATCTTCATATATCTTATTTGATCCTTTTGTCTCACACCAGAGTTAGCTAGAGAAGTCCTGAGCATCAGATGTTTGTAAAAATGCCTGCAGGATGCAGCTGGCTTGTTCTTGTATGAGTTTAATGTGGTTTGCATACGTGTACACGATTGCTTTATTGCTGCGGTGAGGGTTGTTCCTCCAAATAAATACCAGTTCCCTTATATATCTCTAGCTAGATTTGTTCTAAGTGTTAGCCACATCAGAACTTCGTACATATATGTAGTTTAGAAAAAGGATTTATAAAAATATATATTCTCATCTTAAATCATACCATATATGTGATACAAAGTACTGTGTTGTGGCCGAGAAAAGGTATAACATAGATTAACCAATAACATTACATAACTGTGTGAAAATTACAGTAGCATCACGTGATTATGTGGAGGTTGGATCGAAGAATGTTCTCGTGAAACACACACTATACAAAACGAAA